GTCCATACTGTTAGAAAATATGAAATAAAATCCCTGTTTACAATATCCAAAAATAAAATAGCTGGGAGTAATCACAAGAGACATATACGTGAAGAAAATTAAAACTAAAGATTTTAACGAACAGATAAACTTACCTTGTTCCTGGGTGGGAAGACTGAATATTATAAAAATGTAAGTTCCTCCCAAGTAAATCTATAGATCCAATTTAATTCCATATGAAATCCCAGCACTTGGATTTTTTAACTTGACAAGCTATTATAAATTTAATCTCAAAAGATAAAAGATCAGGAAACACCTACAACATGTTTGGAAGGAAAAATAGGGAGGACTTTCATCCCTGAGAAGTACCAAAATTTTCCTTCAGCCTATGAAAAACAGTGTTATACTGGTATAAGAATTAACAATTTGATCAAGAGATGAAATAAGCATAGAAAATGGGAGAATGTTTTTATGTATTTATAAGAACTTATGATTAAGTAGTCAGAGGCCACAAGGTAAAAGAAGGACTTCTTCAAAAATGACTCTGGAACAATTGGATATCATTTGGAAAATTTAAGTTAGAACTTCATGGTACATCAAAATAAGTTCCAGGTGAAATAGTACCCCTAAACCATAGGAAAATTAATTATAAAATTAGAACCATAAAAAGTCAGAAAAATAATAAAGATTAGATGACTTTCCATATTTGTTTCCATGACCTGTATCACAGCTGTATCCATAACATTATTTATACTTTATTTTAAATACTTAGTTCTCTGCCTAGAATATAAGCTTCTTGAGATTATGGATCTCCTGTCATCATTATTTCCATTGTACCTAGCACAAACCAGGCATTCAAGAAATCTTTGATGAATGAATGAACAAATGCCCCTTAGAAAAATTGGCAACATATATGAATAGACATTTTACCAGAGGGGAAAAAAAGACCAATAAACATGAAGTTATGTTCAAACTTCTTATTACTTATAGAAAAACCAATTAAGGAAGTAATAAAATACTATTTTTTAATGTATCAAGTTGAGTAAAAAGTTAAGAATAATATTTTGATAGACAAAGCATTCATATGTGCTTATGAGAGTGTAAATTGGTTCAGCCTTTTTGGAAAGCAGTTTGGGAGTCTATGTTGATTAAAATGTTTCTGCCTCCTAGCACCATGATTATGATCTCTACATGTCATTTCTTATTAAATGGAACCATTGTTCCTTAGATAATTATCTGATTCCAGACCTGGGCATCCTGTAACAGAAAGCAAAACTGCTATCAAAAACTGGTGGTTGTGGGCCGAGCCTGTGGCGCACTCGGGCGAGTGCGGCACTGGGAAGCGCAGCAGCGCTCCCACCGAGGGTTCGGATCCTATATAGGGATGACCGGTGCGCTCAGCGCGGTGTGGCCAGTCTCAAAAAGGGCAAAAAAAAAAATCTTTGGGCCGGCCCAGTGGCGCACTGGAGAGTGCGCTGCTTGGGAAGCGGCGCTTCTGTCGAGGGTTCGGATCCCATGTGGAGACCAGTTCCTGCTCACTGACACGACACCGAGGGTTGCGATCCCGTTACCGGTCAGTAAAAAAGACAAAAAGGGAAAAAACAAACAAACGAAAAAAAAACTGGTGGTTGTGTTAGAAGGATACAGGAACAATCTTGAAGGAGCTCCCACTGGCCAAAAATGGCACAATTTGAACATGAAAAAGAATAGTCACTACAATTGATTTAAGGACATTAAATATGTAAAAATCCATGAGTTCATGATAACATTTATTAATAACATTTTAAAAATCAGTCACTTTGTCAGTTGCTAGGAGTCAACTCATTATTCTGAGTAGTAGTAAATAAATCAAGCATTTATCCTGCCTTTCCTGTCCTAATTGTATGTCAGGATAACCCAAGAATTGGTGAGGAAAATTTCTTCTTTACAAAAGAATGCCAGCTAGAAAATTCAGTGAGAATGATAGAATTAGAAGGTTGTTAGTTTTGCAGCCTCCATTTCACCCCCCACCTCTGCTCCCTTGAAACAGTAGCCTTAGGCCACAATGCTGTGAAATTAAAGAGATATAAAAGACATCTGAATCAAATACAACATGTGGGATTTGTTTGGATTCAGGGAAATGTGAAGATGGCCATTAAGGTGATGTATATTTCTTTCTTTCTTTTTTTTTTTTTTTAAAGATGACTGGTAAGGGGATCTCAACCCTTGGTGGTGTCAGCACCATGCTCTCCCATGAGAGCTAAACAGCCAACTCTATATAGGGATCTGAACCCGTGGCCTTGGTGTCGTCAGCACCACACTCTCCCAAGTGAGCCACAGGCCAGCTCCTGAGATGATGTATATTTCTAAAGCTTTGTCAGAAATACATACTGAATTATTTCAGGTAAAAAGATGTGATGTCTGGGATTTGTTTTTTTAAAATACTTCAGGAAAAAAGAGTGGGTGTTCATTTCAGGGAGGGGCAAGAGGGAAAGAGAATAGATGACGTAAAATAGGCAAAATTTTTGGTAATTATTGAAGCTTGGTAAGATATGTCAAAGATAAAGGTGGGCATTAGTTAATGCGGTGAAAACATATCACTTAGTATGTACTGACAGTAGGGGGCAGAGCTGCGCTCCAGATTCCTTTGTGGAGAAGCAACTGGGCATTTTAAAAGGACAGTAAGGGAGTATGGAGAGGGAACAATTGGGGGCTCAAGTTAAAAATTACAAAGTGTCAGTGTAAATGTGATTAGGACAGCTGTGTCTGCTGGCTGGCAATTAGGATTCCATCCTCCCACAGAGAATGGGAGACAGAAGCCTCATCCTTCTTTATTTTATAATTACATTTCAAAGGAATGGCTATCAGGTGTTTGAGAAAGAGACTCCTAAGTTGGAGATACTGTAGATATCAATCTCAAAAGGACAGGAGAAAGGTTCACAATTGTAAGTCCTTTTTTAAAAGTAAATGCTCTAAAAAGGGGAGGTCAGCTTATTGTCAGGTGTTGGCTAGAGCAAATAGTAAATTCTCCTGGCAGTTTTGAGCTTTCTCAGGTAGGAATTGTAAGAGGGGGATGGGGTCATCCTGGGGACATGGCTTTATGCTGCTGCTAGAAATCATGCCAGAGTTTGGTGGTCATTTAGTGCAGAGGTTTGAACAGAGTCATTATGTGCCAAGAATTTTGCATTTCTCACAGCTACATAGGGGCCCGGTATAGTTTCTTTTTACAAGAAAAATATACTCTTATGTGTATGTTTGAAAGTTTTACTAAGTATAGTTTTGTTTAATGCGTATTACTGTTGACCTAATAATTCCTGTTAAAGGAATGTATCTTAAGGTAATAATCAGGAATTTGGTCAAGGATTTATGTATGAGGATGTTCATCAAAGTGGTAACAAAGAGACAAATTGGAAACAGACATTTTCAGCATTAAAAGATTAAAAACTATAATACATCTGTTAACCTATTAGATTGTCCAAAATCCAAAAGCATCAAGATCCAGTTGATTAATGAAGCTCTGTGAAAGCAGGCACTCTTCGTGTATTGCTGAAGGGGCTGACTCCATGGAGAGCAATTTAGTCATATTAACAAAATTACTAATCCATTTACACTGTGACCAAGCATTCCACCTTCTGGAAATGTATTCTGCAGTGATATCTTTAAATGTATGAAATTGTTATGTACAAGATTATTCATTACATCATTACATCATGACTTGTATTAGCGGAAGATTAGAGAAAATAGTGAACTAGTTAAATAAATTGTAGAACTAAGGCAGAGGATTACTGTATAGCTGGAGAAAGGATGAAGAAAGTCCATATCTACACATACAATATGGTGGCCACAAGCTACATGTGGCTATTAAATTTGAATTAATTAAAATTAGATAAAACTTAAAGTTCAGTTCTTTGGTCATACTAGCCAATTTAAAAGTGCATAGTAGCCACATGTGTCTAGTGACAACCATATTGAACAGCACAGATTATTTCCATCAGTGAGAAAGTTTTATTGGACACTGCTGCTTTGTACAGGTAATATAAAAAATCACTAAAATACCTATATTACAATACATAACAGGCATCTAAAAATAGAAAATATTACATAAAACAGGTTCTTTGTGAAAGTTTAAAGCTGAGTTTCAAACAAGTAGAATCTTCATAGATTTTTATTTTGTTAAAATATCAGTTTGCCATCATTTTCTGATGTGTCAATATGATCACCAGGTGGATTACATATTATGGAAAAAAATTAAAAGAGAATGAAATTCTCCCATTTGCAACTACATGGATGAGCTTGGAGAAACTTATGTTGAGTGAAATAAGCAAAGCACAGAGGGATAAATACCACATGTTCTCACTCATAAGTGGGAACTAAGAGAGAAAGAAGGGAGGAAAGAAAGACCACAGTGGTGTGTTGGACTTGCAGAGGGAGAGAGCATCCCTAGGGATACAAAGTGGAGTGGGAGAAAGGGGATGGGGAGGGAGATCGGGGATAATTGGGTGGGGGACATGGGGTATAATTGCAATTTGCAGTAATGGGTATGCTGCCAGTATGGATCTCGCCATCCCATCTAGGGCACAAGTGGTGGCAATCAGCTTTGTATCTCATGAATATTCATAACCAATAAAAAATGTACTAAGAAAAAAACAAAAAAAAAATAGTTAAAGGCAAACAAACAATGTAAAGGATTCTTGACGAACTAATAATTTTTCAGCTAGCCTTTACTGTTTTTTGTAGGCAAAAAGCTTGTAGCCTTTCTTTCAGCTCTTTATCAGAGTGCATGCTCTAATGAACTCTAAATTTGCTAGGTGCTGTGAAGTACCTAGCAGGAAGTTACAGCTATAATCATAACTTCCTGGAGTATTGTGAGATTAGGTATAATCTTTATATGGCTGTTGAACATACTAAAATGTTTATTTCAGAGTCTGACTTATTTTAGTGTTATCTAAGAAGATAATAGGAACTAATTACCACCAGTGTTTTGTAAAAATGCGGAATTGAACTATCAATTTGAGATACTAATAAATGATTTATTTTAACAGATCTACAGAAAATAAGGAAATTCTCACTGTGGAAAATAAAGTCGTAGAGTTTGGAGAAAAAGAATCATCTTACCAATGTCATGACTGTTCCTGTGCCTGTCTAATGAAAATGTCACCAACCTTCAAGGGAGAAAACCCTCTGCAGCTACCAGTGAAATGTCACTTCCAAAGACGACACGCGAAGACAAACTCTCATTCTTCAGCACTCCACGTGAGTTATAAAACCCCTTGTGGAAGGAGTCTACGAAACGTGGAGGAAGTTTTTCGTTACCTGCTTGAGACAGAATGTAACTTTTTATTTACAGATAACTTTTCTTTCAATACCTATGTTCAGTTGACTCGGAATTACCCAAGGCAAGAAGAAATTGTTTCTGATGCAGATATTAGCAATGGAGTGGAATCGGTGCCTGTTTCTTTCTGTAATGAAATTGACAGTAGAAAGCTTCCACAGTTTAAGTACAGAAAGACTATGTGGCCACGAGCATATTATCTAAACAGCTTTTCCAACATGTTTACTGATTCATGTGACTGTTCTGAGGGCTGCATAGACATGTGAGTAGAAAACTGAGGCATTTAAAAAAATCTTCTAAATGTAGGGACACTTGTCAAGAAGTCCTGATATGTGTCAATTTGTCTATCTGTCTCTCTATCTAAAACCTGTTCACCAGGAGTCTAAAATGGAAAGATGCACTCTCACTACCAAAGGAAAGTAAACTCTTCACCAAATATAATAATTTGAAAATGATTTCTTCCAAGGATGAGTATTTCTTATAATCTAGGACCATATCATAATAATAGCAGTTATAACAAATGCCATTTTACAGTGCCAGGCACTTTGACAAGTAGTTTATATACATTTTCTTATTTAATCTTTACAAAAACCCATGAGTTGGGTAATATCTCTGTGTTACAAATTAGGAAGTTGAATCGCAGAGAAGTCAAATCAGAGAGATCATAGGGCAAACAAATTGTAGAGCCAGGATTTGAACCCATGTTTTTAACCACTGTGTTATACGTTATATTTTACTTTTACAAATCATGTAAAAAATCATTTTCTGACTAAGTTTTTAGAAAGTTAATTTTTATTGCTAGTATCCTCTTGATCATAATATTGATATTCCATAAAAAAATGAAAACATGTTCTAATATATTAAGACTTTGAAAAATATTTTGTTTTAATCATGTGTAATATACATGCGTTTGTAGGTATGCGGATATAAAGTGGAGCTGTATTATATAAGCGTGCTTCAAAAAGTTTATGGAAAGATTTTATTATCTTTCAATTTTGTTTTTCCACGAACTTTTTGATGTACCCTCATATTTAACTTAATGCAAATTTAGTTACCTGTACTAGGCAAAAGAAAGAATAAGAGAAAGAGAAATAATTTAAGTAGTATAGATGATAGTTTTCACCATCCTCTCAGTTAGCTGGAGTGTGAAATGAGAGAGATAAATCTGCTATCTTCTTTTGGCTCAGTTCTTTTAGGCCTCTCATAGAAAAAACCTCACCATGCTGGGTTTTATTTTGTTTATAATAAGTAATTTATTTTGTAAACATTGCCTCTAAATATAACCCAACTACTTCATCTGGGCACTGGGCTCTCCAGGAGTATAGAAACAGGTACCTGCACGAGGCTGAGATCTATGCTCATATTTCAAAAGGCGTGGAATTGTATTGATGAAAACCTGGTTTATAGCTGCAAAACCCTTAGGTTCCAAGCCAGAGCAATGGAGAAGGCACCCAACATAGAGTGGCACAGAGGAGTAAAACCAACAGAAGGTATGATTTCAAAAAAACATTTACAGCACACAAAGATGTTTAGGACCCTGAAGGCAGCATGAGTCCTAACAAGTAGGGAGGAGTCACACCTGAGAAATCAGAGACAAATGTAGAATCTGATTTAGGGACTTTAAAATAGGTTTGTTTAAAATGTCCAAAGAGATAAAATATTTGCTTCCATGAAATAAGAAAAAGAGGTCATAAAAGGAAAGTGAAATATATGAAAAAGAACCATTTGGAAATATGGAAAATAAAACATAGTCATTGACATAAAAGCTAAGTAGATGGACTAAATGGTAGGGTTGGTATAGCTAAGTAAAGAACTAGTGGATTGCAAGGTAAAACTAAAGAGATCTCCCAGAATGCAAAGAAATAAAGATACAGGGGAAATAACTTATAAGTTAAAAAATGCAGAGCATAAAATGAGAAATTTCATCATACATCTGAGAAGAAGAGAAAATGGGAAAGACATACATTCAAAGAGATAATCACCGAGAATTTTTCAGAATAGAAAAAAGACACGAGTCCTCAGGATGAAAAAGCCTGCTCTGTATGAAGAAGGGAAAACAAGATAAATGTTCACCTAAATATATCATAATGCAGCTTTAAAGATATCTGAGGTAAAGCATAAATCTCAAAAGCTATCAGAAGGAAAAGACAGATTTCCTGCAAAGGAAAAATAGAATGACAACACACATTTCATCAGAAATAATAGGGGAAAAATGACATATTAGCTTTAAGTGCTAAAGGCAAATAAATGTAAAACTAGAATTCTCTACCAACCAATCATTTAAGGGGGTGAGGGTTGGTTGATTTGGTTTTTTTTCAATTACATAGCAGTTGAAGACGTATTATACCTACTCTCCAGCAACAATACATTTAGGTATATCTAGAACATCATTTTCCAAACTACAAGTTTAATGGGATATAAAATCATTTAAAATGTTATAACTAGTATTTTGCATAACTCGTGATAAGGGTAAAGTTTCATGCCACTTTTGTTTCAGTTTATATATATACATACATAAATAAATGTGTATGCCTGTACAAGATGATGAGGAAAATGTATTTTTTATTGTGGATCATAGTCAAAAATATTTGAAAGCCACTATCTTAGAGATGCTTACACGTGTTTAAGAATAAGAATACTCATTGCAACATTGTTATATTGAAAACCTGTAAGTAACTTTATTGTGTGTTAAGTAGGCAATGACTAAGTGCTGTAGAAAAGTTAGAAGTTATTAGATAGATTTGTATATAGCATGGATGGATCTCAAAAATATTATATAGAATGAAAAAAGCAAGTTGTAGAATAATAACTGTAGTAATTTATTTTTAATGAAAATACAATATATTGTGTGTAGATGTATGTGTACATATATAAAAGTATAAAGGACACCACACCAAATCTCTTGAGAGATTTGTTTTACCTGTAATGTTTTATTTAATTTTTTTTAAGACTGTATATACAGTGTATACATTTAAAATTACATGTATAGGAAAAAGAAGGATTAGACAAAATGCTCACGATTAATTCTGGGTTATAGAAATGCAGGCATATATTATATTATTTGTATTTTTTTGTTCTTTTTGAACTTTGTAAACAAAATCACATGTAAAAAGTAACTAGATTTCTATATCTGCAAACAGAATCCAAATTAATGAATTTGTTGATTTTTTTTTTTTTTTTTTTCCTATTGCAAACAGCATCCGTCACTCTGGACTGTATTATGTATATAAGGAAGAGAAGCATGGAAGAAAAGATTTTAAAGTCACTTGTTCAGCAAAGGAAACTGAGATACAGAGATTCTAATCAGCTCACCAATAGTCACTTATCTAGTTCATACCTGGGATACCCAGGTTCCTTACTCTCTATCGAGTTATTTGTCCCTATGAAGTTAGATAATCATCCATATAATTAGAGGGAAAAATACACAGGTTAAATTTTATGATTGCAAGTTTCTTGCCTAGCAACAATATGAAAAAAAGGACTACTAGCCCAAATACCCAGCATCAGTTTCACCAGTCTGTTTTTGTGTTGCTGAAGTGAGTAAGAACCTTAAGACATCTGCAAAACTATGCCCTTGCAAATTTGAAACACATAGGTTTATTGCAGGAGAGTAGAACTAGCAGAGTTTTCACAAGTGAGCTTCTGCTGAATAGGAAGTAAAAGGAATTTATCTTAAAAGTTAAACAAAACTCATGTAGTTAAGTATTTCTTGAGCAAATAGAGGTGCAGTGCAGTTAATAATTATTTATGAATGTTTGGTAGGTATTGTCTTTCAGAGAGGTCTATTCTATTTAGGGAAGAAACCCATACTGTCCATGAACCAAACAACTCTTCTAAACACAGTTACAACCTTTACTACATCATTTACACTTTTATCAAGACAGTCTCTAGACTTGACTTGGTGCTTTTTTATTCTGACTTCTCCATCCATCACTTTCCTTTTAGAACAAAATGTGCCTGTCTTCAACTGACAGCAAGGAATGCCAAAACTTGTCCATCAAGTAATAAAATAACCACTGGATATAAATATAAAAGACTACAGAGACAAATACCTACTGGGTAAGATACCTTGAGGATTTGTTGCAGGGTGTTTGTGTCTTTGAAGGTGGGTACTTTTTTTTTTTTTTTTTTTTTTCCTTTTTTCGTGTCCGGCAACGGACCGCAACCCTCAGTGTCGCGCCCACACTGGACTGGGACCGGCAACGGGACCGCAACCCTCGATGCTGCGCCCGCCCCTCGCTCAGCTAGTGAGCGGGAACTGGTCTGTATGTGGGATCCGAACCCTCAGCGGGAGTGCCGCCGCACTCCCAAGCAGTGCACTGTAGCAGTGCGCCACCCGGCCAGCCCCAAGGTGGGTACTTTTTTATTGTGGTGTCCAGTCTTACAGATTTTGTTTAATCTCAGATTCTAGATACCAACAATCTAAATTACTAAGGGATTTTTTAAAAACCTGAATATTCTTGAAAATGGAAGTCAGAGACCACATATGTATTACATTCAAAGTATACTCCAACACTCATCTGCTTTGAGTCTGGCTCTTACCTGTTACCCCTCTCGGGTCAGTCTACATTGGACAGCCGTTTCCCCATTAAGAAATATACTGTGGAGAGCTAATCTGAAAATTGGGAATTTTCAAGTTTTCAAGGTTGTTATTAACAAATAATAACTCCTTTAGAAACAGAAATAGGAAATTTTCTTCCTAGACAAATTAGAAGAGTTTATGTTTACTATGTACCAGGCATTGTCCCAAGTACCTTGTAAATATTGATTCACTTAATCTTCATGAAACAGCCCTATGAGATAGGTACTATCATATATTCCCCATTTTAAAAATGGAAAATTGAAGCACAGAGAGTTTAAGTAACTCATTTAAGGTCACGCAGCTAGTTTTCCCAGGCAGTCTAGCTCTAAGAGCTTTCAACTTAGTCTGTTTCCCTCAGTAATTATCAGTGCCAGGGAGGTAGCAATATAAACTGCTTTTTTAGGGTACCTGATTGATTTTCTCTTTTGCATATTTTATTGACAGCATTTATGAATGCAGCTTGTTGTGCAAGTGTAATCGACAGATGTGTCAAAACCGAGTTGTCCAACATGGTCCTCAAGTGAGGCTACAGGTGTTCAAAACTGAGAAGAAGGGATGGGGAGTACGCTGCCTAGACGACATTGACAGAGGGACATTTGTTTGCATTTATTCAGGTAAAAGAAAGGTTTGTTTTTAAAGTATTCTATAATAGGATCTACAATTCTGGATATCCATTTTCCTAATCAGGGCCACTGAGATCTTATAGCAAGATAAAGAGCAACAGTATCTAGGAGCAGCATCAGAGGAAGGCAAGCAACACGGAACTTGAGCACTGAAGGGGTAAGATGCCTTAGGAGATACAAGACATTCCAGAAAAAAAAAGTTCAGATATAACAGTTGGCTTATTGCATGAGGGCTTGTTATGTACAAGGCACATTTTTTGTCTCTTTGACTATAATGCTTAGGGTAAGGGGAAAAACTTTTTTAAAATAAGAACTAAATGACTGACTTACTAAGGTAAAGATTATCAGTCAAAGACTATCTTGTTCAGTGCTTTGAGCTATTATTAGAATTTAACAACTTACTTTTTTTTTTTTTTATAAAGATGACTGGTAAGGGGATCTTAACCCTTTACTAGGTGTTGTCAGCACCACACTCTCCCAAGTGAGCCAACCGGCCATCCCTATATAGGGATCTGAACCTGTGGCCTTGGTGTTATCAGCACCACACTCTCCCAAGTGAGCCAACCGGCCATCCCTATATAGGGATCTGAACCTGTGGCCTTGGTGTTATCAGCACCACACTCTCCCAAGTGAGCCAACCGGCCATCCCTATATAGGGATCTGAACCTGTGGCCTTGGTGTTATCAGCACCACACTCTCCCAAGTGAGCCACGGGCCGGCCCTAACAAGTTACTTTTGTAATATATATCTGCTTATGATCATTCAGGCAGTGACTTTAGACAACTCACTCCATTTCAGAGACTCAGAAAGTTGTATGTGCTCTAGAACAGAACTTCCCAAGCCATGTGTAACAGTTGTGCAATTACTCATTCTTTCGAGCCTCAGCCCCCAGGCCAAACACGTTGGTCTCCAGTAGTCTCGTCTGTTTACCCCAGTGTGTCAAGCAAAAATCCTCATTTTCTTTGTGCTCCATTGTGTGAGAATGGTTGGAAAACACGTCTTTAGAGCCAGTCTGAAAGAAATGTGCTGGACTGAGTCTCTGGAGCTACGGCAGCAGGGAGCAGAGCAACCTGCCTCATCTGAAATTCCAGATTCACTTCAAGGGAGGACAAGAAGAAGCTAGTGGAATTGTTGGAAATCAGAATAGTCCCACCCCACTTACAGACACATCACACTACACAGCTGATAAATCATTCATCTCTCATTTTTCTCAAAATAACTCTTGGATGCAAGCTGTCTATAAAATGCCAAATGGTATCCAGGAAGTACCATTGGCTTTATCTGCACCTAAGGTATCTCTGTGATCTAATGATGGATGAGAATACCCAGCTGCTAGCTTTAACGTGGTAACTATAACCTTGAGTCCCTTAAAAGAAAATGTATGAACTTTAGACTAAGATTTTAATGTTGTGCATAATTTTATATGAGAATAGCAGGTACATATCACCACAGATTTAAACAGGTCATTTCATAAAAAAGAGTGTGGATTTTAAATGATAAATCCTTTTTAAGTAGACACAAAAGCTACAATTTTAAAACTAGAGTTCACTTCTCTAATTTTCTAGAAAACTTTCTGATCCATCTATACTTTTTTTATATTATTGTAGCTAAATCTCTTCTTTCATGTTATACAGGTTGAGTATCTCTTACGCTAAATGCTTGAGGCCAGAAGTATTTCAGATTTTGTATTTTGGGGTTAGGGATGCTCTGTACCAAAATAAATAAGTGCTTCTTTAAGATACTTATATCATCACTGGTCCTTTGTTTATTATCTTGAACAGTTTTCTCAGATGAGTTCATGTTTTTATGTTCATTCTAGAAATAAGGTATACATCACAGGGTTCTTTAGTCATGGAGCAGGAAGAGATGTCTGTTTATTGTTAGCAATAATATTATCTTCTGTCTTGTTCAAAGTCTTTTACTTTTTTCATTTAGGAAGGTTACTAAGCAGAGCTAACACTGAGAGACCTAATGCTATCGATGAAAATGGGAAAGAAGAGAATATTATGAAAAATATATTTTCAAAAAAGAGGAAAATAGAAGTGGCATGTTCAGATTGTGAGGTTGAAGTCATCCCATTAGAATCGGAAACACATTCTAGAAGTGCTGAAACTGAGGAATGTCCACCTAAGTTCAGTAATAATCCAAAAGAGCCTATGATGTAAGTAAGAGCTTAGGACCCAAAGTCAATCTAAATTATTATTCATCAAGAGTGGTTCTTTTTTCTTCTCTCTTTTTCTTCCCACCCTCTATCCCCCCCACTCCTATTTATTATCTTATCTCACAATTGTAAATTTAACACTTTGAGAAATCTAGGACAATTAAAAAACTAGCCAACATACCTTCCTCAGTGTTGTTTTTGGAGTTTTAATTTGTGTGACTTTAATCAGGTTCTTTATGGATGTCATTTAGTTTTGCTGTTCTTTCTATTTTCTATCACCATTCTATTTGCAAAGCTTTCATAGGTTCTCTTCATTTTTTTAAAACATAATTCAAAAATTATTGGCTTTAAGATATGATTATATTTCCTTCCTCCAGTGAGGGATAAGCATAGATGTTCTTAGATTAATTTCTAATGATAATGGATATTTATGTAATAGTAATATTGTCTGTATTTCAAGGTCCAAAAAAAGAGAATTTTTAGTGATATACAAAGTAACTTTTTTTTTTCCTTTTCAGGGAAATGGAGTATAACAATATTTCAGGAATTCACTATCCTTCAGTTATTAGAAGTCCTAAATCCAAGACAGCCATTTTTCAATGCAATGGAAAAAAGATGGTAAAAACTGCAAAACATAGATGGGGCCTTCTAAGAACATTAACCGTTATCTCACCTTTCTATCCTCCACTTAGTTCAAAATGTTTTTGTTATTTAATAGTGTCTAGGATTTCTTTTATTGTTTTGGAATGCATGGACTGTTGAAGTGTTAGGACCATGTCTTATATACTTAGTATTGTCCATGTCAGTTGGCATGTTTCCAACTTAGATGTCTGAGGAGAATGTTGGTCATGATCTGACAGTATGCTCCACTGAGACCAAGAGCTACCTGGTTCTGAGAATTTGTGGGAGAAGCTAAAGTGTTCAAGAGTTAATAGTGATATGTAAAAAGGGATGGAGTAATTTAGGTTAAGGAGAAGAAGGTTTTGAGATATAGGAGAAAGGAAAGATGCAATTTATAAAAGAATCATCCAGAAAGCAACGTTCGATGTGGTAGCCTCTGAGAATACACTTTTCAGTCTGAACTCAGAAATTAGTCTGAGACTGAAATTCAGAAGCAGAGAAAGATATGGGAAAATGAACAGAGGTAGACATAATGGTAGCTTACAATAGGGCTTGGTGATGAAAAATGAAAACTCTGCTCTAGGTGTGCAAATATTTGCCATCTGCCTAGTAACAGTACAGTAGGTACCACCTCAGTATCACATAATTATGAAAAGATTGGGCCATGGGGTCACATAGACTCGGTTTTAACCTTCAGCTCTGCTGCTTACTAGCTGGGTGACATCTCCATGCATTCATTTCTTTTAACTGTAAAATGAGGATTAAGTCAGATAAATATCAGAAACATTGCTTACCACAATGCTTGGCACTCAACTAACTGCTCAGTAAATGCTGGCCATTCAAATATTATTAACTTTAATAATAATAATGGCTAACATTTACTGAGCAGTTAGTTGGGTGCCAAATATTGTACTAAGCATATACCCCTCTTTTAAAGTTAACATTACCATTTAAAGGGACAGCAGTGTCTACAATGCATAAAGACAAGCAACTTCTTTAACCTTTTCTTTGAAGTAGAAACTAGGTGTTTTTATCTTTACAAAACTTATAGTTGAAGGCAGATTTATAGTCTAGTATCAACACTTTCTACTGAGGATGATTAGAATTGAGGGATACAGACAGATGGATAGTCATGGGTTACTTAACAACAGGGATATGTTATGAGATACACATTGTTAGGCTATTTCATCCTTGTGTGAACATCACAGAATGTACTTACACAAACCTAGATGGTTTAGCCTACTACACATCTAGGCTATATGGTGCAGCCCATGGCTCCCAGGCTACAAACCTGTGCAGCATGTTACTTACTGAATACTGTAGGCAACTGTAAGTATTTGTGTATCTAAACATACCTAAACATACATAAGTTACAGTAAAAGTCCTGTGTACAAGATAAAAATGGTAAACTTATATAAGGCACTTACCATGAATGGAGATTGCAGGACTGAAGTTTGCTCTAGGTGAATCAATGCATGAGCGATGAGTGAAATGCAAAGGCCTAGGACATCACTGTACACTACTGTAGACTTTACAATCACTGTACACTTATGCTACACTAAATTTATTTTTAAAATTGTACTATGACAATATTATAATCTTATGAGACCTCTGTCATACATGCAGTTCATTATTGACCCAAACATCATTAAGCAGCACATGACTGCATTTGAATTTTAATGCCCAAAGAATGTCTTGACAGTCTTTATAGCTGTGGCTTAATAAAGTGCCTAGAAATTGAACACAGTTAAAATATTGGTTCCACTAGTCTAAAAACTTATGATATGCTTTGAGTCTTGTCACAATTAATCTAGTACATACAGCCTATGAAGAGTGACACTTGATAAAAGAGGCCTAATTGCTGAATACTTTTTCCTGACCTAGAAAGTAAAGGTATTTTTCTTGTTTCCTTTGAAGGGATTTGTGTCCTCAGAGTCTGTCACCTCAGAAGATAATGCCGGGCTTAAACCAACTCAAGAACATCTGAAGGCCAAGGGAATGCAAAGTAGGCTTTGTTTCACTCTATGACTGCTTGCCTCTTCTGCCTGTCTGTATCTGTTGAGATCAATACCTATAGCTCATTTTCTCAGATTCCATGACAAACATGCTGCATTTGGCACAAAAGTTCTAAGTTCTCTAGATCAGACATCAGTAAACTATGGTTTGCAGGCCAAATGCAGCCCACTACCTATTAAGTATGGCCTGTGAGCTAAAAATGATCTTTATATTTTTAAATAGTTGAAAAATATCAGAAGGTGAATAATATTTGTGACACTTGAAAATTACATGAAATTGCAATTTCAGTGTTCATAAATAAAGTTTTAGTGGAACACAGCCACAGTCATTCATTTACATATTGTCTGTACTTTCAGACTACAGCAGCAGAGTTGGATAGTAGTCACAACAGAAATCACTGCCCAGCAAAGCCTAAAATATTTGCTGCTCGGCCCTTTACAGAAGTTTGCTGATCTCTGGTCTAGTTGCCAACAGTGACCTGATGTGTGGCAGGAAGGGTGGGATGGACAACTCTGACTCTACATGGTCCACAGAGGTTGTCTGTGGCTTGCTTTGGAAACACTGTTCAAAGCAGCCACTTTCTAACTCTTTGTTTTGGACTCCTTAAAAATAAAAACATATCACTGTCCTGTGGTGGTCCAACAAACACTGCTGCAGAGGATGCTTAGCATGACTCTAGCAAAGGGCTAAAATATCGCTACCCTGAGTGTGTGTCTTTCAGAGTTACCAGTCCCTGCCATAGTTAATATTACAACTGGACAAACCTGATTTTTGGTACATTTGCATTTCAGTGTATCCATCAGCAGGGAGACATTGCTGACAGATATCCCTTTTTGAAGAATTGGACCAGCCATTGCTCCCTCTTCGCCCTTTAAGCCTCCTTGCATATGCAACCCCAACTACCCACCTAGTATTAAAGGATGGAGATTGAGGGTGGGGGGAGCATGGCAGCTTCTTGATAGAAGAGGTCTATCAAGAAAAGGCATTTTATGTATTATATTTATTTTATAGTTTAATGCATGTGAGTCACAATGAGTATTATTGCTTTTGATTCTTTTGCTCTTTTCATTGACTGCTTCAATATCTATAGCAGGCACTCCAAAAATCATAATTATATATTGTTATGGCTTACAAGTAACCCATAATTAATATATGAGTACATGTAGGAACAGCAGCCAGCAGCAGTAATGATTAAATCAAGAGCCTTAATTTTAGGGAGGTATACTTTCTTTGTGCCACTGAAGTTAGGTGACACAAGTACCTTTTTCTTAAATAAGTGATTTTCCTTATTTCATCTGACATGCATTTATACTTTTGAATACTCTCAAAAAATGATTTCCATTATTGGATAAGAAAAACGATTAATCAGTTTATCCACTTTTAAAGTATTATTGTTCGCTGGCCAAGTGTGGTGCTAATAACACCAAGGTCCAAGGTTCAATCCCTGTACCAGCTGGCTACCAAAACATATATATATATGTATGTATACAAAAGCCATGATGAGATACCACTACACACCCACCAATATGGCTCATATTAAACTATTATTGTTTATAAAAGTACAATTATTGAGTGGTCATCTAGCAAAACATCAAACACGAATATGTACAAACTCCTAGCAATATAATTGTTGCTGTTAGGACTTGTAGAAGGTGAATCTGACAGGGTCTTCTCAGCCTTTCGTTGACATTGTAAAGGCCTAGAGTGCTCCTAAACACCCACTCTGTTACATCTATTTATAGTATACTTAAATAGAAATTCCAGGGTGGAAGAGAAGAAAGTCAGGTAGGAATAGCGATTAAATATAGTAATGAGGAAATAACATGTAGATTCATAAAAAGGCATTGTTATGTAGTAGAAAGAAGGCAGACTTTGGGAGCCAAACATTTCTGGGTTTGTTACCCCACTTCTCAGTATTATGGGTCAGGCCTCTCAGAGACTCAAAGTTTTCATTTCTAAAATTAAAGTAATACCACCTACCTTATTAACACATTTAAGTATTAGCGATAATTAAAGCAACTACCATCTAATTAGTGGTGTTAGTCTGAGCACTATTGCTCAACCAAGCATATTTCCTGACAATTCCTTCCAAAATGTCTAGAGGACTCACGTTCAAACCAGGTTGAAGATTCTGAAGACAATCTGCTGATTGAATCAGATGTGATAGATATAACTAAATGCAGAGAAGAAACTCCACCAGGGGGCAGATGTAACCAAGCAACCACGTTGGATAATCAGAATATTAAAAAGGAGTTTGAGGTTCAAATACCAAAGCCCCAAGAGGAAAAATCTCCAACGTGTCAAAAACAGCAGGTCTTTTGTGATGAAGAGTTGTTGTGTGAAACCAAGAATACTCCATCTGATTCTCTACCAAAATTCAGTAAAGGGAATGTGTTTTTACTGGATGCCACAAAAGAAGGAAATGTGGGCCGCTTCCTTAATGTGAGTATAGGGGCTGAGATTCATAATTCTAAACAACTTTTTTCTATGCTTCTTAGCAAAATCATGAGGAAAATATGATTAAGAGACTCTAAAACCAGACTACCTGGGTTAGAGTTCCAGTCCTCCACTTGTATGACCATGGGCATGTTACTATACTTCTTGATGCCTCATATTACAGAGATGGAAAATGGGAATAATAATAATAACTGCCTCAGGGTGTTGTGAAGATCAAATGAATTATTATGAAGTGCTTAAACAGTGCCTAGCACATAGTAAACATTTGCTTTAAAAACCTATCAGGAATGGTGTGTAAGAAAAGTATTTAAATATATCAAAAGGTTTTCAAGCTCACTTGCTCAAGTTGAAAAAAATGTATGGACAGATAGTTGTCAATGAAATTACACGGTAGCAGGCATGTCCAAGGAATATTGCAGAGATTTGATCCCTTTATGAATCTTGCAATAGACGAATGTGCAGAGATGGCAGCTAGTAGGCAACAGAACAGTACTGCAGTGGTGGTAAAACTCGTGTGAGGAAATAGTATCATCATGGTAGAAGCCTTGGAATAAGTATAACTAATGGCTGTGTTCAGCAGAGAAATCAATTGCTTACACATATCTACAAAAGTCCTGTTTTGGACTATGATGTAAAAATTAGGTTTGTGTACATTCTTCATATTAAACTTTTTTGTGAAAACTTTGTTTCGTTAAAAAATATGGGCCGGCCCGGTGGCACACTGCTACAGTGCACCGCTTGGGAAGCGCGGCGGCGCTCCCGCCGAGGGTTCGGATCCCACATACAGACCGGCCGCTCACTGGCTGAGCGAGGAGCGGGGGCAGCGCCGAGGGTTGCGATCCCGTTGCCGGTCCCGGTCCAGTACGGGCGCGACACTGAGGGTTGCGATCCGTTGCCGGTCACGAAAAAAAGACAAAAAGACAAAAAAAATATATATATATATATATATAAGCCGTATCTTGAGAAGTACTATGCCCCCATTCTCCCTGTCCCCACTCCACCCTAAAGGTAATCATTTTTATTACTTTCTTGTGTATTCTTCTGGTGTTTCCTTCTGCAAATACAAGTAAATGTTAATATGTGTTCTTATTTCTCCCCCTTTTTTACATAAAAGCTAGCATATTATATTCACTGTCCTACACTTTGCTTTTTAAATTACCAATGTATTGTGGTGACCCTTCCATATTGATACGCAGAGAGAGCTCCTCATTATTTTTGTTTCTATGTTTTTGTTTATGGCTGCATAGAATCCCATTGTCTGGATGTACCAAAGTTCATTTAACTAATCCTCTTTAAGCAGCCTTTGGGTTAAACTTTTACTCTTAAAAACAATGCTCAACAAATAATCTTACACATGGATACATATGCAGATGAATCTGTAGAATGAATACATTCCTAGGTATGGGATTGCTGAATCAAAAGATAAATGCACTTATAACAATGATAGGTATTGACAAGTTATCTTTTTTTAGGGGGTTTTGTATCATTTTACATTTCCACCAATAAAATATTAGGAGTGTCAGAATAGGGCTTTTCTGAATGGGTTCCTGCTATTATCAGAACTCTCATGCTCATGATATTTTATATATTAGTAAAAAGAGAAAGAAAATTAGTGAGATGTGTTAGAAACAGAATGGTATTCTATAATGCTTTAAAGCACAAAGCATCAAACTATGCTATATTTAACCTTTGTTGTTGTTGTTTGTTTGTTTTTTTAACAGCATAGTTGTTGCCCGAATCTCTTGGTACAGAATGTTTTTGTAGAAACCCATGACAGGAATTTTCCATTGGTGGCGTTCTTCACCAACAGGTTTGAAATTGATTTTGCTTATATGATTTAATTCTGAAATTGTAACTTTAAAAGTAACAATAGAGAAATGTAAAAAGATGTATACTGTAGCCCCAAATATCTAGTACCCTAGAATATTCAATTATCCTAAACTGTTCCTAGTCAATAAAATTTTGCACACTGAAAATTTTAGTTCTTATGCCCACTTAGAATTAATGTCTGAAAGGGCTGAGGATGTCAGATCTCACCCAGTTCAATTCAGGGGATAAATGATACAGTGCTACATCTTATTTAAGTCAGGACTGTGCCCCAACTATTTCCACACCACAGGTGTCATCACATCACTGTTTGTAAAATGTACTTCCTTTCTCATGGATCTTTCTTACTTAGGATTTTAAGTAGGCTTGAAATAAAACTCAAATGGTTATTCTTAATAAAAGATCATTTCTAATTGGTTGGTGTCAGGGTGAGAGACTAGATCATATTTTTGAGGATGGTTAATGGTGTTAATATAAAATTGATATAATCAAGTTTGGTTCATTTGATAGTTACTTAGGGTAATTTATGATTCTTTTTTAATTTCTACTTTCTAGGTATGTGAAAGCAAGAACAGAACTAACATGGGATTATGGTTATGAAGCTGGCACTGTGCCTGAGAAGGAAATCCTCTGCCAATGTGGGGTTAATAAGTGTAGAAAAAAAATATTGTAAATATGTAACTAATGCCTGTCCATGATATTAGCTTATCAGGCTGAAATTACAGCCATGCAAAGGAACTCTCAGTTATAAGCGGAATTCATTTAAGTTGAGGTCCATCAAGGTAATTCTTCTCAGTTTCCCCTTATCAGGAGGTTCATACTTTTTTCTCTTTTTTTTTGACCGGTAAGGGGATCACAACCCTTGGCACGGTGTGGTCCACACCACGCTCAGCCAGTGAGCACACCGGCCGTCCCTACATAGGATCCGAACCCGCAGCCTCGGCGCTACCAGCGCCGCACTCTCCCGAGTGAGCCATGGGGCCGGCCCTTTATTTCTAATTTTATTTGTGTGAATTAGAAATGCCAGGAACAAGATAAGGACATTATCATATGCATTGGGTATCTCTTGTTCTTACATGAGTAGGATGGAAATGTACATTTTATCTGAAATATCACTGTGCAATTTATAACTTATTTGTAAATTACATATTAAGAGAAATGAATGTCATGATAGAATTCAGCTCTCTCTAACTGCTTTTGTGATTATTTTTTTTAGTTCATGCTTCAAAGGGCCAAATTTCACATATTTTACCTACATATTTGATGTTTAATTTCTGGCAAATCATTTACCATTATGAGGTACAAGGTAGGCATCAGAGCCTGAGGAATATGTAAGAACTAATTTTATGTGTATTACTCCCAAACATTTTAACACTTCTGGGAAGTTCCATGAAACAATGTCCCATCAACCACTTGAGTAGAGAGGTGGAGAAACTATTCTATAAGTAAGGTTCTGGCAAACTCTTGGAGATGAATCTTCTTTTCCACAGATTCCTCTCACTCTTATAATACAAACAGTAGAAGAATGAATAGAAACCTGGAGGAACTTTAATATTTTGTTTTAGATAGAGTAGACCTACAAGAAAAGGAAATCTAGAAATTCATCAGAGTTGGCTTATTTAAGCCAGAAGGAATTGTGCTAGGCAAGAATTTCACTTAAAAACAAAACAGTTCTGAGCCCCAAAGTCTGAAACAGCCTCTTGGTATCTCCTGGGCATAATTTACAAATTGTTTTTCTAGAGAAAAAGGGAAAGAGTTACCACTTTGGTGTAGGTTACCTAGTTCTGATCATCTAGTGGAAAAGGGAACTGGGAAGCTCCAAGAGTCAAAAGGAATTTTATCCCTAAAAAAAATGTACTTTTGGCTGCCAGGAACTTCCCTTTGGAACCAAGATGGGAAAACTAGTATGAAAAAGAGGGATTAAAAGTAATTCTGGTTTCTGAGAGGTTATACGATGGTACTTCAAAAAAAGTTCATGGAAAGATTCACATTATCTTTTAATTCCTTTTTTCTATGAACTTTTGAAGTAAAGTCTTGTACGTTTTTTTCTTTTATTTGGACTTGATTCTGCGTTTAGTTACCTTTCAAACAAAAATCTATTCTAAGATTGGATCCAGTTTCCTTCCTTAAAAATATTGAGCTAGATGAAACTTTAACTTGAAATTGTTTTAGAGAATTTGAAACCAAAGAACAAGGAAAAAGAGCAAAAGATTATAACCCAACTGCGTGCAGACAGGTGAGGAACATTGAGAAGTCCATTTATTCAGAATAAAAATGAAGGAATTTTAGGCAATGCTCTAAAATAAAGTGAAGAAACTTGATCAATATGGGAAATATTTTTGTGCAGAAGGGACTATGGATTAGCCAATATTTCCTTGAGATTTCACCCTCCTGGGGAAATTTCTCTTGAAGTCTTAGTGTGCTTCAGTCTGGACTGGTTTATCGCTATCATCTTCCATCGTTACCCTAGAGATTCCCTTTTTCTTTTATGTCAAATCTGTTTCCAGTTAGATCCCATTATTTTCCTTTTCCTTGGTTTACTCCCACATGTTGGTGAAGCACATCCTCCAATAACTTTAGAAAGGGAAAATGAGAAGTAAATGTTTTGAGACTCTGCACATTTGAAAATGTCTTTATTTTACCCTTACACTTTATTGCTGTTTTAGCAGGGTAAAGAGCTCTTGAGTAGTGCCCATACCTAGTTTTGAAGGCTTCTGCTAGCTTTCAGTGTTGCTGCTGTGAAGTCTGAAAACATTCTGTCTCTGGCTTCCATGGTGACTAGAAAGTTGGATGCCATTCTCTTTCTTATCTTTTGTACATATAACCTGTTTTTTTGTTTGTTTGTTTTAAAGATGACCGGTAAGGGGCTCTTAACCCTTGACTTGGTGTTGTCTGCACCACGCTCACCCAGTGAGCAAACCGGCCATCCCTATGTGGGATCCGAACCCGTGGCCTTGGTGTTATCAGCACCGCACTCTCCCAAGTGAGCCATGGGCCGGCCCTATAACCTGTTTTGAATCTCACTGGAAGGTTATAGGATTATCCTTGTCCCAATGTTCTGTCCTTAGTAAGGGTTCATTTTCATCCCTTATACTGGGTGCCTAGTGGGATCTTCCAATCTGAGAACTTTGTCCTTCAGTTCAGGCAAATTTCCTTGAACTGTTTCTTTAATGACTTATCTCTTTTCTCTTTCTTGAATTCCTGTTATCTAGATGTTAGACCTCCAGGATTGGTTGTCTAATTTTCTTATCTTGTATTTTCTTATGTCTTAATTTCTTCTTGCTCTACTTTCTGGGACCTTCCCTCAACTTAATCTTCCAAATCATCTGTTGTGTTTTATTTTCCTGGTCTCATAGTTTTTATTACTAAGAGTTCTCCTCTCTGAATAATCTTTTCTTTATAATACCACACTATTTTTGGCTCATGGTTGCAGTATTTCCTCTCTTTGAAGATATTATTTATATGTGTGTGTATATATACACACATATATGTACACACATGTGCATTCATGTTTATGTTTTTTTCCTGCATATTTTGTTCTCCAAGGTTAGTTTGTTTTCCCTGTATGTTTGCTTTGGTCTTTTTATAGGCTTTTCTTGGAGTTAGTGATCTTGGTAGTCTACTCATATTTAAGAGTGGAACATAAAAGCTTATTATAAGCTCAAAGTGTGAGAAAGGGCTTTTCCACTTTACCATGACCTACCTGAGCTATTTTGCTGAGAAACCTCCTAATGTTAAGGACGTTCTTTTCGCTCTGGCAAGAAATATTCTTCCATCTTTCTGCCTGGAGAGCAAAAAACTGGTTCTGTTTTCTCCTGTTTTTCAACTCCCACATTTCTGCTTCTGTAATCAGTTTCGTATTTGTCAAGGCTATCCAAGTTGTACTTTTTAGTATTGTTTCTCTTTTCTGTCCCCAATTTGCATTTTTCCTCTTTAGAACCCGCTCCAAGTCCAAGACCTCCAGAAGTTTTCCTTTAATTCCTCAGCAAACCAACTATTATATGCTGATATACCAGAACTTTTTTTTTAAAGCTATAATTTAACTATGCATTCATATTCCTCTACATATATATTTGTTAACATGAACTGAAAAAAACTTCTGTATGGTGCTCTGTGCCCCATGGGTGCTAAATAAAGGCTTGCTACTTGCAACGGGATTTAGTGTTTAATCCTAAATCGGTTTAATCCTGCATCGGTTTAAGATATATCTGTTTAAAATGTGCCTATTTAGGCCAAACTCGGTGTGATAAAATTTTTAGAAGAAACCCTCACAAGAGTGATCATCTCCAGCTGAGCCGAGGGGCCGGAGTGCCTGGCTTTGTTTCTGTTTTTAAAACTATTCATACCAAGAATCGGGTCTGGAGAACTGCGCGCGGGAAGCCCTGCGTGCGCAGCCCCCGGCCCCGGCGGCCGGTTCCCGGCACAGCGCGGATTCAAAAAACGAAAGCGGACCCCGCCGGCCACTTCCGGGAGCGCGGCGAGTGCGCAGCCGTCGGGCCGCCACCCCC